ACAGATAGATAGATAGATAGATAGATAGATAGATAGATAGAAACTTTATTAACGTGTCAAAGAACCTTCTAGTTTGGGAGATATCCCATACTAATGTGGGGACACAAATAAAATGGATAAAAATTATTTACAAAGAATATTACCTACTTAAGAATAAAATTAAGTCATATCATGTATGAAAAAATAGGAAATGAATTAAGAAGTACATAGAGCACAGCCCCTGTAGCCATCATCTAATAGGGAGCTGAGGTCATGCTTACGTATGCGGTTTTTGAAACTAGCTGATGCTGTGGCTGATCATCAGGCAGGTGACAGGTCTTCAAATTTCAGTGAATCAATGTGTGACTCGGGGAGAGTGGTTCGCAAATTAAGGAAACATATTAGTTGTGTCGGGAAAGCAGTGGAGTTGTGATCATTGAATGACTATGGTTATCCTTTGTTCTGTAGGAGACTGATTGGAACATGAGAAAAATTTTGAATCAAATATTGCTTGAGATGTTGATGGGAGCAACTTCGAGAATACCCAGCCACTATTGACCGCTATGAATGGATTGCTCCCATGTTCCCAATGTCGAAAAATAATCTTAAAAGAGAGGACATTTAAACCACATTCAAGCTTTCCTGAAGTTGAAGAATAATGAAATGATATGGCCATTAAACTCGTGCATCTGCAGTCCCACACTCATAACGTTGAGGAATGATATATCGAGGCTGTTAACTAGTGCTCCCATAATTCTGTGCTTTTGAAGTGAAAGAATAATTAAAAGAAAGGGGAAGTTTAACTAGTGTTGACACAATCCTATGCTTACTTCATTTCATTTTCTCAAGTGGGGGATATTTCATTGCTATATATGAGTTAATCAGTGATTCCAATTTGAATTTTGCTTAAAGAACGAGGTAACAATGACATCTACAAGAATTGTGAGCTCATCTACACAGTGTAATGGTTGTCCTTTGCGAGGACTTCATTGCCATGATCTGTTGGGATTAGAAAGGTCATCAGGGAATTTTTTTCCACCATTTGCAAGTTAAAATGTGCATGTTATTCACTTATAATGCACACACTGTCAGCTAAAGGCCTAACACAAATTTAGCACTAGAGCATGTTGTTTTGGAAGGGCTAGTTTTGCTAACTCTGGTAAAACTTGTGCAAGGCATTTGCATGAATCATATTTGATTCAATTTGACAATCTTGTTTTTTGCCTTGTGGTTGCTCTTTTTTCAAGGTTGAAAAGACCACCAAGTTATATTTGCCAAATATCTGTTTCTTTTTGCTTCTAAAAGTTCTCCATGAATTAAATATTGTTTAAGCAATACTTTCCCACTACAATTGTGTTTACTTTTTACTTGCCAGTATGGACTAGACTCTTTCAGAAGAAATTCCCTTCTCCAGTAAACAACATTAAATTATGACATAATTCTACCTCTGTCACTGAAAAATATTTCACAAGGAACATAATGGTTCAGTTAGTCATTTTTCCACGCAACTCTCACATGCTTAGACATTTTCTACCAATAAAATTTGCTTTTAGCTACCTTGGACTTTACTCCACTGCATGTCAATTCCCTGTAACAACCTGCATTTTATCACATATTTTACATGCACAGGGCAAAGTCCAGATAGGCAACAACCAATTAAGGAGAACACATTGTTATGCTTTAAAAAATGACACTTTTCTCTTTGTTCAATCTATTTTCACTTCTTCGAAGAAAGGAGACCCAAAAATATCTTTGTCCAGAGGCTATTAGAGATAAAATTATATAGAAAATATTTTGAGGCAACTATCTGTTACTGAACAAGAGGCTACCTGGAGCCTCTATTCAGGCCAGATTTGTGGTTCAGAGGATTGAATTGAATTGGTTGGAATTGAAGGCTTTGCTGTTTTAGCAAAATCACTGTTGAGTGCTTTTCATTCTTTGTTAACATGGAGAGTTATGAAGATTAAGATTTTGGAACAAGTTGATGCCATCCATGACAATTTGGAAATACTAAAATTGCCAGAGGAAATGCAGGGTCACTCAATAAAAATTTGCATTTAAACGCAATGACATTGTTTACAAGGATTTCTCCTGCTTACATCTAATAACAAACTCTGAAGTTTTTTTTGCCTTGAAATGATATATCACAGAAGGCATTTTATGGGTCGCAAGTTTTTTGACTGATTGAAATTTAATTTATGTAGCAGTGACTCCCACAAGTGTTTTTTTGGCAGAAAAGCATAGTTGTTTCATCTGCTACATTAATCAACTGATGGATCCAATCACCAACAGTTACAATGAGACTATCGTATTAATTAATCAAATTTAAACAATCAGCCAATAAACTTTTACTGTTCCCAAGGGTTGTTGTTTTCATCAGTACATTAACAATAGAAGTGATTCATAGTATTAGGTTTCTACTTTAGATAAATATATTTAAGTTCACTCGAAAGATAAGTATAAACTGTAACAAGCCTGGTTATTGGCCCAGCGCTTCAAGCCTGACGGACACTCAATGCTAAAACTCAACCTTGTTCCTGGGCTATGTCCACCACATCAATTTATCTCAACTAAAAAGTACTACGTAATGCCTACTGTGCATTTTCCTGCGCAGGAAAAAACAAACTGAATTACTGATTCTGGTAGAGCCAGAGTAGTAATTATAACAACTTTTGAAGAAGAGACAGCAATAAGTGTTAATATAGCCTAAGAGCAGGTTGTTGTTTGATCTTGTCAGGTAATGTTAGAAAGAGAGTGTTGCGTGAAAAGTGTAAATTAGGGCTGTGGAGGGGACTGCAGGAAGTGTGGTACCAATGCAGTCTATTTTCGCCAACAATTATTCAGACACCAGTGTCAGTTACTTACTTGCTTAAATAGTGCTATCTACTGCAAGGATCGTGCATCATACGTATCTAATACCGCAGTTCAAAATATATGAACTTCATATATTTCATTGTATCTTATTTATCACTTTCACGGGTTTATTACGAATCAACTTAACGGCCTGCTCCCAGTTGGCTTGTTAGCTCAATTGGTAGAGCGCTGCACTAGTATCACAGAGGTCAGTGGTTCAAACCCCGTACAGGCCTGATTTTTTTCAGGTCTGATTTTTGCTATTGCTTAAATAGTGCTATCTACTGCGAGGATCGTGCATCATACGTATCTAATACCGCAGTTCAAAATATATGAACTTCATATATTTCATTGTATCTTAGTCTAACCAATATTAAGTGGTCACCCATGGGGAATGGCATGGCTTAATACAGGTTCCAAAGATAAGGTCTAGATTAGGAGTATTATAAAAAAACAATAAACAATAAACAGTGCCACTTTATTCCATAATTGACCACTTAATGTACAAAATCTTGCTCTAGGTTTTATTAAGAGGTCCCTCATTCAGGGACCACTCAATACAGTTAAAAGACAATAAAAACAGGCTGTTAGGACTGAGTAAAGGGTGACTGTGACCACTTAATAGAGGGGACCACTTGATAAAGGTCACTGCTTAACAGAGCTGGTGAAATTACAGTGATTAAGGGGGAAATAAATTTGGGATTTTGACAACTGACTACTAAATACAGGGTGATCACTAAATTGGTGCTTCTTAAGCTAATACAAGTGAGACTATAAAAAGTAAATGTCTACAAATTTGCACACCTTTAAGTAAAATCTGTCTTGATTTGCCAGACTATTTGCTTTTTTCTTGATATACCACTAAAACAAGCCATTAAAATAACATTGCCTACCTATCTGAATAATTCAGTGCCGTCTTCTTGTAGAGGGTCAGAGACATCAATCTACTTTGTTTCCTTTTATCACCATCGTATCCCTTTTTGCTCCTGAATAAAAATAAACAGATACACTTGAGAAATTTTAAGAATTCCATTTACATTGTCTGGTGTAAACCTATGAAGTTAATATGATTATTGACAGAGTAAAGTTATCAGCTTACAGATTATTAACCATAAGTCTTTTCCCTAAAGATATCTCAAAAGAAATGTAGGGAACAAATTAATGTTTAACTGGAGTCAGACACATCAATGCCCCTACTTTTTCTGTTGGTTTTAGAGACCATATTCTGTGAATCAATCAGGAAGGTAGGCAGTTAGTAGATCAGTCAATCAACCAGTAGGTGGATCAGTCAGTCTATTGGTCAATCAGTCAGTCAGTGAGTCATTCAGTGGTTTAAAAAAAAAATACTGCCCCTCACAAATAGGAACTCAATGATCAACAACGGTGATCATCTGTAATGCAGGAACAAAAATCTGGATTGACCTCTCTAGCAAACTCAAACGTTTTTGGAAATCTGAATATTTTCAGAAGAAAGAGTTCAGTTATCCATGAGCTGATAATTTTACTCAGTAATCATATCATCATAAAATGGGCTGTGGTTAGTCATTGTGGTAAATAACACTTTAAAAGAGATAATTATGTAATTGCTTGTCTCATGGTGTGGTCACTTTGGATGTGGATTGCGAGGTTTCAACAGTATACTACTAGTCTCCTTGAGGCCATAAGGTCAATTGAGTACATGTCACCTATATGCTGTTGTGCTCAGCTGTGATTGCATGGAATTCCTCAGGTGTGAAAGAAGCAATTCACCTGCAGAAGATTTCACCCTGACAACATCAACAAAGACAGTCAAATTGAAATCTCAGTAGCCTGAATGCCAAAGATCAAAAAATCACAACAGCAGGAGAGCCATATGGCAGCAGACTGCAAAGGGAACCTGATCTGAAAGATGCACTGACTACAGCCCTGGAATTCCATCCAATCATAGCTGAGCACAACAGCATAAAGGTAATGCATACTCAGTTCACCTTTTTATGTGAAGAAGACTAGCAGTATGCAGTCGAAATGTTGTGATCCACATCCCAAGTGACCATGTTCTGAGACAAATGATAACATTTCTCTTTTAAAGTGATCATATCATGTTCACATGTAAACACTGGAAAAATCCTTTCATGACTCTGTTTTTTTACCCTATTTTTTAACACATAAAACTATTGCTCGCTGCTGGAAAGTTTTCCCAAGGAGGTGAGGAAAGAGTTAAGATCATGATAAAAAAATCACAATTGTTTCATTGAGTTTACCTATCGTAAAGAGTAGACTGTTTTGAATTTCCAAAAAGGTCAGGGGTCCATAATTACTCTGCTGGGAGTTATAAATGCAGAGATCACTTATAATAAGTGTATAAACACCTATATAAGGAACCACCTTAGTCAGTGCGTTGGGCATTCATGCAGCCTTGGATGAATGACGCTAGTTTTGTAGTTTTCCACCATGTCTAAACACGAATTGTATGTAAAAGTTCTTCTAGCTACTTTAACTTACTCATCAATTCTTAATTTTCAAAGACCTGGAGTTTGCAAGTCTCCATTATTCCTTAATCACAACCTAAAGTGAGAAATAAATCATAACTGTTGTACATCCGTAAATGTAGAAGAACCTCTCTGGAGCTCAATGAACTCCATGTTGCTATAAACTTGCTGCTAAGCTTCAATTTTTCTTCAAAGTAATGCGATGCAAGTCTTACCTCGTAGAAGTAAACAAGACTTCCTAATCCGAATAATCCAGGTATTTGTAAACTTCTGCCTCTCGAACAGACTCAAGCCCTCAAAAAAGTGAGCTATTATTGGACAAAAAGTATGACAGATGGTAAAATGAGTAAAAACTTAAAGACATGTTCGTCCTTCTCGTGCAATTGCAACAAGACCTTGACCCCAGGGACTGCTCGGTTGTCACAAAACCCGCCATTTTGAAAACCAAGAGGCCCCTGGGAACTAAACGGTACTGAGGGACGGGAAAAGGCATTTCCTTGAGAGTTCTTGAATATGCGATTAAATTTTTTTTAATCTAAAAGATGTAAATTGATTTTTATCGATAAATGGCATTCGTAAAAAAACTATCAACGAAAAGAGGAAATTGATAGAGAAATAAATACTTTTATGACAAGTTTGAAGCACTCATAATTATTGATTAATAAATTCTTCATTTGAGTGATCGTTATGTTTGTATGTAGCACATTCTTAAATTCCTCCTCAATTTGATTGTAAGGTTACTATCTCGTGCATTCTCAGTTTCCTTCTGTATTCGATTAAATACGTTATTATCGCGAATATTCTCAGTTTTTCCTGTATTCAATTATTAAGTTAGTATCGTGTAAATTCTCAGTTTTCTCCTATAATCAAATGTAACGTTATCTTACGCCTTCTCATTTTTCTCCTGTAATCGATTGTTACGTTAGTACATCACGCATTCTCAGTTTTCTTCTGTAATCCATTGTTACGTTAGTATCTCGCGCATTCTCGGTTTTCACCTATAATCGATTGCTACCTTAACATCTCGCTCATTCTCAGTTTTCTTCTGTAATCCATCGTTACGTTAGTATCTCGCGCATTCTCAGTTTTCTCCTGTAATCCATTGTTACGTTAGTANCATTCTCGCGCATTCTCAGTTTTCTTCTGTAATCCATTGTTACGTTAGTATCTCGCGCATTCTCAGTTTTCTTCTTTAATCCATTGTTACGTTAGTATCTCGCGCATTCTCAGTTTTCTTCTGTAATCCATTGTTACGTTAGTACCTCGCGCATTCTCAGTTTTCTTCTGTAATCCATTGTCACGTTAGTATCTCGCGCATTCTCAGTTTTCTTATGTAATCGGTTATTACATTAGTACCTCGAGCATTCTCAGTTTTCACCTAGAATCGATTGTTACGTTAACAACTCGCGCATTCTCAGTTTCCTTCTTTAATCGATTGTTACGTTACTATCTCGCGCACTCTCAGTTTTCTTCTGTAATTGATTGTCACGTTAGTAGCACGCGCATTCTCAGTTTTCTTCTGTAATCGATTGTTACGTTAATATCTCGCGCACTGTCGGTTTTCTCCTGTAATCCATTGTCACGTTAGTATTCTCGCGCATTCTCAGTTTTCTTCTGTAATCCATTGTCACGTTAGTATCTCGCGCATTCTCAGTTTTCTTCTGTAATCGATTGTTACGTTAGTATTTCGCGCATTCTCGGTTTTCTTCTGTAATCCATTGTTACGTTAGTATCTCGCGCATTCTCGGTTTTCTTCTTTAATCGATTGTTACGTTAGTACCTCCCGCATTCTCAGTTTTCTTCTGTAATGCATTGTTACGTTAGTATCTCGCGCATTCTCAGTTTTCTTATGTAATCGGTTATTACATTAGTACCTCGCGCATTCTCAGTTTTCACCTATAATCGATTGTTACGTTAACATCTCGCGCATTCTCAGTTTTCTTCTGCAATCCATTGTTACGTTAGTATGTCGCGCATTGTCAGTTTTCTCCTGTAATCCATTGTTACGTTAGTACCTCGCGCATTCTCAGTTTTCTTGTGTAATCGATAGTTACGTTAGTATCTCGCGCATTCTCAGTTTTCTTCTTTAATCCATTGTTACGTTAGTATCTCGCGCATTCTCGGTTTTCTCTTCTAATCCATTGTTACGTTAGTATCTCGCGCACTCTCGGTTTTCTTCTGTAATCCATTGTTACGTTAGTATCTCGCGAATTCTCAGTTTCCTTCTGTAATGGATTGTTACTTTACTATCTCGCGCACTCTCAGTTTTCTTCTGTAATCGATTGTTACGTTAGTAGCACGCGCATTCTCAGTTTTCTTCTGTAATCGATTGTCACGTTAATATCTCGCGCACTCTCGGTTTTCTCCTGTAATCCATTGGTAGGTTAGTATTTTCGCGCATTCTCAGTTTTCTTCTGTAATCCATTGTCACGCTAGTGTCTCGTGCATTCTCAGTTTTCTTCTGTAATCGATTCTTACGTTAGTATCTCGCGCATTCTCAGTTTTCTTCTGTAATCCATTGTTACGTTAGTATCTCGCGCATTCTCAGTTTTCTTCTGTAATCGATTGTT